TCTTTCTGACCTTGTCGTATGTAATTCAGAGTCGCGAAGCTTTGATCTTGTTCTATAATTAGCAAAGTTAACATCTGCTTGATACTCCACAGCTTTCCTAAAATTTGACAGTTAACTACACTGCAAATGTGTGTATATGATATTATTATGCTGTTCTAAGTTAAAAAGGCCTCATATTGAAGAACTGACAGGAAAGATTGACTTATTCTCAGCTTAATCTGATGCTGTACCCTGAACTCCCATTGACTGTGCTGGGATGTAAAGATATTCTGGATTTTAAGTCAGTTTGGCTTTGGTTGCTATAAGCAACACGTTCTGTGGTTAGTTATGAGTGACAGAGTTTCATTATGATGCAGCAGTACTTTTAAGTAATCTTGGTTTAGGGCATAACTTTGTCTGTGGGTCTTCTTCATGTCACCAGCTGTAGTTAGAGAAGAGTTGGAACAAATGAGAGGCCTTTGCATTACATAATTTGAGTCCATATTTTGACCATGTGTAGTCTACAGTGGAAATCGCAATATATGTGACCCAGACAATTGCAAGGGGAAAGTATATATAGCATGATTAGAGATGTGTATATTTTGATGGTACTATGTATAACTTTCACTCCTGTGGTGTTATCATTGTTGGAACTATGCCAGAAAGACTTAGAGTTGCAAGAAATGACAATGGAACAGAGTTTAATGTAGATAGCTTTCTACCCAATTAAAAGAGAATATAACTAATTTAATTGAGATGAAAGGTAGTTTAATAGTCATGGAAAAAAGGTAGTAATAACCAACTGCTAAATCATGTGTGTTGTGGTGTTTTAAAAAAAAAATTATTTGAGATACTACTCTAATAAATCACTAAGTAGCTCTTCAGTCACTAGTGGTGTCTGTTGCCGCTAGTTCTCTTCTCTAAAGCAAGTGAAGTTCTTCAGTGGCCTTCTCTGAAAGTGAAATGATGACTTGGTGGGCAATAAGATAATGTACTGTAGTGGAGGGCTTACTCTCTTCAAGTTTCTTTCTTGTCCTCTTTTCCTGAAAAAGAGGGAAAAAGACTTTTGAGTTAGAAATTCTGAAAAAACAGTGGTAGAACTATACTGAAAAATTGTACTGGGTCCTTTGATTACATAATCAATCTTCTTGGAGAAAGGGGCTTAGTTTTAAAAAGTGTGCATGGGGAAAGGCTGCTCCTTGTTCATAGGATTTTTGTTCCTACTTTTCTTTCAAGCTACCTACTCTATTGTGTCAGTTGTCTTTTCAGCTGTAATATATTCTATTTTTAACTCCTTATCGAGTCTGGGCTGACTTCCTCCTCATGGGCATTGCCTACTTGCCTGTGAGTTCTCAATTACCGATACTGCTGCCCTGTGAGTCATTGGGTTGGCTTTGGTGCCAAGCTTGCTTTCGAGCTAGGGGAGAGTAGCCTGGGGCTAAGGAACCTGCCCTGGGCTGTATTCGGGTGGGCCCAGCAACGGGGCCTGCTTCAGCCTTCCTGTGCTTGCCTGCGATAAGGCTCATGTACCATGAGTATATTTTGACTGCTGGGAAAGAGACTGTTGTTCAAGGAGTGCCTGTAAATACAGGTGCTCAGTAGATCCAAGAGGGCTGAGGCTCTTTTCTCTAAGGAAAAAAACACGGGTTTCTGTCCCTGCCTGTCCTCGGCCAAGAACGGCCCCCCGCCTGGCTACACGGCTGAACCAGTCGTAGAAAAACAGCAGCTGGTACTTCGCACCCGCGTTAGGTGGGGTGGTTTTGATGCAGCTGCTGTTCAGGCAAAGGCAGTGCTTGCTGCTTAGCTACCGCTGTCGTTTCTTTGTCCACGTGTGAGGCCGCGGCTGAAGGGCTCACAACAGGCCCAGCCCCCGCTTCCCCTCCCTCGCTGCGCCCCGCTCCCCCTGGGGCCGGCG